CAAAAAGGGGCCTAGGTTCGAACCTGGGTGTGAACTTGGATCAAATCTGGGCTAGGCTGGGTATAAGCCTGAACTTGGACCCAAAGAGTTTTAATGATCAGGCCATGTATGGATCTGGACTATATCAAAGATGAACTAAGAACGAGCCTTCGACTTCGACCAAGAGGGGCCTAAGTTCGGACCAAGGCGAAACTTGGTTAGAACCTGGGCTAGGATGAGTACAAGTCTGAACTGGACCCAGAGGGTTTAGCTCCGACCAAAAGCAGATTCGGGCTGAAACCCAAGATCAATAAGCAAGAAAGCACACGAAAGCGTTTTACGTAGTATAGTACTATATCTAGGCTTGACTTGAGAGTGGGTTTTTAACTACTGAAATGCGACTAGGCTGATATAAGTCCCTTCATAGGTCCTGGCCTCCTGTTATAGGATTTTGTCAGGTCTTACGCTACGCGGAATTGCATTGAGGCAAAGGATTACGGAGGGGCGCTCACAGTTAAAGTTATGTGAATCCCAACCTCCTCGACTCTCAAAGTTGGGTTCCCCTCACCCCGTTAACGAAGATTTTGGGGTTTTCGAAAAATTTGTTTTCTGGTTTTTCGAGATTCCTGGTCGGTGTGTGCTAGAGTGTGTAAAGAAGCATACAAATGAAGATAAAGTCAAGCACACAAGCACACAATAAGAAAGAAAACAAGTGAGCGCTCGGCGCCTATCGCACCTAGCGATGCATGCTTCGAGGCGAAACTCGCTCAAGGCACAATATAGGTGGAGGGGTGAGGAACCCCTAAGAATGTATGGTCAAAGCAGTGAAACCAGGCACAATTCGTGCAAAGTCGAGTGTGACCCAAGTCGAGGATGACTCGAACGGGACACGGTTCTGGGAAGGTGCAAGCAACCCTCAATCAGTTTTTCGTTTCGTATTTTTTATATTTTTTTCTTTTAAATTTTTTTATTTTAAATTTTATGAAAAACAACTAAACTAAGCATGATGAAATCAGGGAAAACAGGAATTAACTAACTAGAATGAAATCAAAAAGTCAAGAATAGAGCAGACCTACCTGAAGCAAAATATGTTTTTGGTATTTTTAAAATTTTTATTTTAAGATGAAATTTTTTTGAGCAGTCACAAGAAAGGCCCTAGAATAGATCTGAAAAGTTTCAAAGGAATATAAAATGTTTTGGTTTAGGCAACAAAAAGCGTGTCGCCTGAGCGGCAGTAGTAGTGTTGCCTATGTAAGCTAGTGTGTTGCCCAGAAAAAATAGCTTTTTAACTTGTTTTATATATTTTTATTATATATCTTGATGAAATAATTGCAATGTCAACTTGGAGAAACAGAAAAAATAATTTTTTTGATGAAAGTAAATTAATATAGAGTGAAGAGAGAAAGACACAAATAGGATTGAAAAATATTTTTTTGTATTTTTTAAAAATTTTAATTTGACCAAAATTATTTTCCAAAGTTGAAAGAAATCCTCTGGAACACTAGTGCAAATTATCAGGAGAATATAAATTGTTTTGGTTTGGGCGACTCAAAGCGTGTCGCCCGGGCGGCACTACTAGTGTCGCCCAAAAAACGTATTTTTTTTATATTTTTTATTGTATATATTGGTAAAATACTATTAATATAAACTTGGAGAAATAGAAAATAAAATTTATTTTATGAAAATAAATTTAAATAAAACAACAGAAGGGAACTGCAAATCTAATAGAAGAATATTTGTTTTTGTATTTTTAAATATTTTATTTTGACCTGAAACCTTGAGAAACGTCACAAAATAGTACCTAGAACATTCCTACAAATTTTCAAAAGATTATGAGATTTTCGAAATTTTGATGCTCTGATCACGCTCGATTTGCCCCTATGGTGGGTGCCAAACTATTTACAGCGCAAAATTGAAACGAATTGCGGATGAAGATCACTCCGATATGACAATTTAAACTGATAAATGAAATTAAAATCAATGGTCGAGAATGTGAGAACAATCGAATTCAGATCTGAGGCCAGATCTGCCCAGAAAATGAGCAGATCTGCTCTCAGATTTGTGGCAGAGCCAGCTCGATCAAAAGCATTTAAAATATGATTTTAAATCAAAATAACTAAATTCAGATCAAAATTAAGTGAAGAAAACAAAAGAAATAATACTAAAAGGAGAAGAAATGTTATCGGATCGGGCCGGATGTCCCTGGCTTCTCGAGCCTTTAGGGCTCGCCCGTATCAAAACCGGTTCCTCTTTTCCCTTCTGCAGTAACTCTCTGGGATGGTTGTACCCTAACTTCAGATCTAGGGTAAGTTTAGGTTTGAGGTGTAGAGCATGGTAAAGGTTCTCTCTGTATCTCTCTGGTTTTTCTTTTCAGCCTAAAGTTTCTAAAGTCTATCTGGTTTCTCAAAGTCTTCTAGAGTTTTTGTTCCAACCCACCTCAAATGATCCCAACATGGTTTTTATCAACGAGGGATTTTTTGGGGCAGAGTTATCCCTGTAACCAACCAATCCCTAGTCAAACTAATTTAAATTTTAAAAAGTTAGAATTTTGGGAGGTGCGGATTTGAGTGGCACGCTCTGTGTCGCCCAAGGCTGGGCGGCACGAGTCTTGTCGCTTGGGCGGCACGCTTCGTGTTGCTTGGGCGTCACGCTTCGTGTCGTACAGACCAATTTTTTTCAAAATTGAGAATTTTTACTTTTGGCGTGTCCCTCAGCCTCTTGTGAAGCTCTCGGAGAAAATTTGGGTCAAAATAGATTTTTTTACTATTTTTAAGATTTGTTTTAGTAAAACAAGGTATTTACAAAAATCTAGGTCAAAACAGGGTTTCTGCAAGGTTCTGGGTAGGCAAACTGGTTCCGGATCACAAGGTAGACGATGTGAACTATGGATTTGGGTTTACTAGGTTAAGTGTGGTCCTAAGGGTTCAGAAAACTATAGAATTTGCTAGATTTGAAATGCGGTGTCTACACCTATCCCTCGAAGGACAGGAGTGCCAATGAAGGGCAACTGTAGACACCCCATTTTACAACAAGCAAATTAAATAACTTTCCTAACCTCAGACAACCTTTAGAATACTACTATTCCATAAAATCCTGAACCCTAGAACACTATAGTCCATGGTCAAGATCTTGTGATTCAATATCCTGACAACTCACTTATTTTGGAAATAATTCAAGGAAAAATAGCAAAACATTGTATTTTGATCTGATTTTTTGTATGCAATCACTAAAGAGCATTTAAAACACATCGGAAGTAGAAAATTCTAATTTGGGTCTAAGATGCAAATAGGTCAGATGGTGCATCTTCAGTGGCAACCCTATAACCCCCAGATGGTGCATCTTCAGGTCTTGCACCATTTTCTTGAAATCAACCTGTTCGAAAACCCCAATCTCCTCTTGTGGTTGTGCTAACCCTACTCATGGGCTGTTGGTTTTCAATCGTCAAAGCACGTTGATAGGCTTTTGAAACAGCCTATAAAGGGTGTAGGCTTAGGATGTCCTGAATTGATTGGCATAGTCCGGCTTTGTGTCGGTCAATCGGTTGCTCTTAAGTCTCAAACAAGTTATTTCCGTACAACTAGTTGATGGAAGTCCCTAGTATAATAATCAACGAATCGCCATGCTTGTCGAAGGGTATGAAGTTGTTGAAACATTATCTAGGTGTAGTTAAATGGCAAGATCTACTCCTTTAACGTTTTTTTCATCTTTTTCCAATCAAAGATTTTTTACTTTTTATGTCTTTCTCGAACCTTTTTTGAATTCTTCCTACCAAGCTGATGCACGACCCTTAAGCTTAATGGCCACGAGTTTAACTTTCCAATCATTCGGCACATCCTTGTATTCGAAGATGCACTCTATAGTATCATCAAACCAATCGATAAAGTCTTATGCCTGCAATCCTCCTGCAAACTCTGGTAGATTGACTTTAATACCTAAATCTCAACATTTGCTCTCCACTTATTCGCAATTGAAAAGATGCAACACGCAGGTCCTCTATCAACGGCGACACGGTGGTGCTTTAGCATAAATCACTTTATTTTTCCATTTGTGAATAGGAATTCTAAGATCACACGGTGGTGCTTTAGCATAAATCACTTTATTTTTCCATTTGTGAATTGGAATTCTAAGATCACACCCCTTTTTGGTGCTTTTGACCTACAAAGTTCGTTTTGGACCAGCTTCTTCTCCCTTTGCTCCTAAAGCAAGAGAAAAACAAACGAGGTGAATATATATATATATATATATATATATATATATATATATATATATAAAAGGAAAAGTGGGTCAGACAAAAGCACACAAGCCCCTCAAGTTTCTTTTCTACTTTCTCACGCCGCTAGTCGGTCCATTAGAGAGGAGGAAAAAACATTAAATTTTCAGTGGGACCTCCAATTATCGGCTTTCCCATCGAACCAAAGCCCTGGTGTCGGCCATTAGCAAAGCCCAACTAAATAATTTTTTCGTATATTTTTTTAAGAAAAGAGTTTATATAGAACTGGCTCTAAACAATCAAATTATAGTGCACTTTAAAAAAATTCTTTAAAAGAAGGTTTTTTACGGTCAAATATCTACAAATTGATCATCTCAACATCAAGATGCATGGACATCAAAAAAAATAGATTTCAAGTTTTAGAAATAGTGTATATTGTAATGCATTTTTGGACCGTCAATTTTCAAGATTTTCAAGTTTTCATAGATCTTCTCTATCTACACTTTTTTTTATGCTTAAAATTTTATAGTTAGAGATGAAATATTTTAAGGCCATCAAAAAGATTTCCAATACTGAAACCACATTTTACTACACTATCTGAAGGTGTGCTTTACTTTGATTGTTTAGAGCCTCAGCTCTATACAAACCGTACCCTATTTTCCATGAAAGTGATATTCTCCAACACTCCCTCTCCATCACCGTCAATCTTTGGAATAGACGGTATGATCCATCACCGTCAATCTTTGTAATAGATGACAAATAAGCCAGCATCCGTTGACGTTTTCCCAGAATTTTACGCATATTTGATCCATGGGAGTATGAGTTCTTGATAATCCTTACAGCCATTTTAACACTTTTCCATTTATTAATTCAGGTGAGCCCAAGCACCCCAAACCAGACAACCTCATGGAAAGTTGAACATTTTCCGGGATGGGCAACTGCGTATGGCGAGGGTTCACAGGGGACTGCCAAGCCATAAAGGTGGTAACAGCCAGTGGCGGAATAATGGAACTGTACGGTCCCATCACCGCCGAGTGCATCACAAATGAGTTCCCCGGCCATGCCCTGTTTCGCCGACACATCCTCTGCCAACCTCTCCTTCACAGTGAGGAGCTCATTGGAGGAGAACTTTACTACCTCCTTCCCCTCGATCGCCAGAATGGTGGAGCCTCCAGAGCAGAGAATCCTGCAGACGGTGACGTGCCTTCGGAAAACGTTTCTGGCGCACCATATAGGATGTCTTTCGATAGCCATGGATTGGATATGCTACCAAGGGTGTCAAGTCATGTGCTGAGTAGGTGGAGAAGGCCAGGGATGGAGGTGTTTCCGGTTTCTCAGACCACCGGAATATGGAAGGTCCGACTCGTTATCAGTCCCGAGCAATTGTCGGAGATCTTATCCGAGGAGTCGCACACTGAGGCACTGATTGAGAGTGTGAGGACGGTGGCAAAGTGCGGGAGTGGGTTCCCTTCTGCTGCGAATTCCGACCAGTGGAGTCTGTCCAGCAGCTGGAAGCAGGCGTCGGCCGAGAATTTAGTTTGAGCGTGGAAGTTTGTAGGGTTTTATCGTGTAAATCTTCAAATTTAATGCGTAGAATGCTTCTTCTTTCCCATATATTCAAAGAAGGTTTTGTTTGTCGTATCATCTTCATCATTTTAGCTTTTTTTCCGGTTAGATAAAAATAGTTTACACGAGAAATTATGTCAGCTCCAGTAAATGTTTCGCGAGCTGAACGATCTATCATGGTTAAGCTACACAGTGGAAAAGAACTAGCAGATTTTCCACGTATGGTGCATACAAGTGTTCGGAAACTTGACTCGGCCTGGGTACTCGGCCTTTTGGGCGAGCCGAGTGACTGGACTGTCTGGATATGCATGGCCTAAAAAATTAAACAAGAAAAGAAAATATTTCAAATAAACTAACCAAACATCGTTTGATTGTATTTAGAGTTAATAGAAATTATTAGTATGTGAAAAAAGAAAAAAAAAAACATAAAATATTGACTATTGGCAATTTTATTTAATATTTCATAAAAAATTAAAAATATAAAATATCCCAAATTATCCTAAAACCTATCACAATCATGTAAAAATATTTCTAAGCAATATATTGTTTATTTCTATTCTTTTTACTAGACTTTAAACTTTTTTTTATTTTTTTTTTTTGTTGGGGAGTTGAACACCGCCCCAAACTCACCTTGCGACTAGGGTGAGCCTGACTGACTCGGACAAGCGTGGTACATAACATACTACTCGATATATTGTTATTATTCACACCATATCAATTCTCTTCCGAAATCCTAAAATAGTATAACCTGAACCAGTTGTTGGCCACGCCACTAATCCTATCGGCCACTTTTGTAAAAGAATGATTTCCATGTACCATACTTAAAGTTCGCCAAAAGATATTCTGCTCCCTCAGGAGCATAATGTTGATTTATTCCCTTGGGTAAAACCCAGATACAATAAATTGTAGAACTCAAAAATTGGGGATGAACCACTTCAATCCATATATTGACCCTAGAAAAAACATTTCTCTTGTACCCTCTAGGCATTTGAAAAAATAATGTTTAGAGATTAATATACGATCATTCAAATTTTAGATGGCGAGATCTAAATGTTAGAAAACTCAACTTTCAAAATTTTCTTTTACAAACAATAATTTTGCAATTTTTAAATAATTTCCAAAATTTCAGATTGAAAAAATCCAACAAGATCTCTGACCGAGAAAGTACGAGTAAACTATGCTCCAGGAAGCATAATTTATGTCCTTTAATATTGCATGCAGCAACTAAGTATAACCGCATAAAGACCACCGCAAATTTTGGAACTTTGGATTTTGTTGGAGAAAATACAAATTCGGTCAAGACATTCAGAACTTTAACGTAAATGATACCAGAAAAAAAGATAAAAGGAATTTACACAAATAATTCGGGATGAGTAGGAAAATTATGGATTAGTAATAAACCTAAAAAGAGGCCAGTATTTTCCACAACAATAAAAGCTTCAATACCCGAAACTAAGAGGGGGACTAAAGAAATAAGCCCGTAATACATGCCCCAAGAATGTGTACTCCATGAATAAGGTTAAAGAAGAGCAAGGATGTGTGTGCCATATACTAAATTTTCACGCCTAGACTGTGGAAATGTCTAGTGTACGGTAACACTGTTAAGAAGGTCAAAGATGCCTCCAATCCACATTCGAAGAGGATCCATAATGGGGCACAAAATTATGGACGCTAATTGATGGCCCCTTGGAGTTAATGATCCATCGATTTTTTACCCAAGATTTCTACTTTTTCATAATTAGCACTCATGATGACATAGATGAAGTCCTCCGAATATCTAATTCAAATCACAATTTTAAAAGGTTTAGGTCTTAAGTTTGGAAAACTATGGCGAATTGATCACAAATTTTTTGGAAAGGTCAGACCCAATGTTTGAAAAAATGAATCGGAGACTCAAAACGCCTTTTTCGAAAATCGATTCGGATCAGTGAATTGACTGGATCGACTTAATGTGGCATAAAAAAAACATATTAAAAAATCACTACAATTTTATACAAATCTTCTTTCTTATGCTTTTTAAATTGGATAGTAGAGTATTAGTATTTTAATGAAAATATAAATACTGATAACTTGTTTCATGTCCAAATTTTTGTTGACTACTACATTTATTTCATAATCAAAATGAAGTTTAAAATACAACTCATTGCAATAAATTGATATTTTTTAATGATTTTTTATATATTTTTATAATCTCCATTACTGCTAATGCTTATAAATGTAGGGAATCTTGCGTACTTATTTCTTATTTTTCTCTTTTCCTAAAAATTATTTTATTGAATTTCTTATTTCTATCCATATTTTTTTTATAATGAGATTGCATAAGTCTAAGGAACAAAGCCTTTCAGCACTTTTTTCTCCTTTTTTTTTATGGAACTCCTTTGTTATGTTATTTTAATTTTCTAAATTTTTTTTTACTCCGTTTTAACTTGATCATTTCTTTTTGTAAAGTACTTGGTTAAAGTGAAGCATAATATGAGAGTTGTTTTCTCTTTCGATTGGTTCAGGGGAGAGAGATAAAACTGGATCTGAGAGACTGAAAGAGAATAGAATTGGAGAGAGCAAGATTTGAAAGGGGCTGTGAGAAATATTGCACTAAAATTAATAAAAGAAACAACTTGGAGACAACAAGGGGAGGCAGGGAATGATGATAAATATTTGTATAGAGAAGAATAAATATCTTCCTATTGCTTTACACGGTCTTTTATAAGTTACAAATACAATATTCCAATATTTGTGGAATTTGTAGAGATAAGAAGTCATGCCAATATTTGTGGGATTTGTGGAGATAATAAACTATAAAAGATATAACCTACAACGAATATACACGGTTTAGTCAAACCATGTGTTTAGCTAAGAACAAATCTTCCAATACTCCCCCTCAAGCTGAAGCATGAATAGAGATAATCCCCAACTTTCCAACAGGATTATTGAATCATTCCCGACCGAGGGATTTTGTAAAAATATCTACCAATTGATTGGAAGTGTGGATATATACATTCCGAAGTAGTCAAGAGATGATCTTGTCACGAACAAGATGACAATCTAGTTTTTACATGCTTTGTTGTTTCGTGGAAAACTGGATTGGCGGCAATGTGTGGAGCAACTTTGTTATCGCAAAACATCGTGGTGGCTGTAAGTGAGAAATTCCAAGATCGTTGAGCAAATATTTTAGCTAACTTAGCTCACATCTTTGAAGTGCCATAGAGCGACATTCTGTTTCAATAGAAGATCAAGAAATTGTGTTTTCTTTCTTGGTCTTCTAAGAAATTGGGCTATCACCAAGCAGAGTACAATAACTACTGGTAGATCACCGAGTCATCAGGCAGCTAGCCCAATCGAAATCACAATATCTTGTCACCTAAAGTTTATTGAAGGAAGAAGATAATAGAATGCCAGATATCAAAGTAATCATAAGGTTGCATCAAGATGAGGTTTTCGCGGGCTTTGCATAAACTGACTAAGGATATGGACACTGAAAACAATGTACGAGAGAGTAATAGTCAAATATATCAGTTTTCCAATGAGCCTCCTATAAGAAGAGTCTTCAAGAAGCTCTCCATCAGTAGAATTTAGCTTTAGGTTCTTGTCCCATGGGAAACTCTGAAGGCCTTTTTCCAAGTATGCCCATGTCCTAGAGTATATCTAATGTATACTTCCGCTAGCATAGGGAAAGACCTTTACTAGACTTGGTCACTTCTATTCCAAAAAATTATTTGAGTGGACCCAAGTCTTTGATCTGAAATCGAGACCGAAGAAAGCATCTGATATAGCAATTGGGTGGGATCGTTCCCAGTAATCAGTATATCATCAATATATATAAGGACATGAATGCATTTTCCACCATATTGTTTGTTAAACAAAGAGTCATCAACTTTAGACTGACGAAAATCTGCATCTTGAAGAGCTTGAGAGAGTTTAGAGAACCAATTTAAGGATGCTTGTTTGAGTCCATATAAGGACTTTGGTTGCTTGGAAACTCTGTTCTTCCTGTGTTTGGCAATCCAGGAGGAATTTGCATGTAAACTCATGCCTGCGAATCTTCATGAATGAAGGCAGTATTCATGTCCAATTGGTGTACAGACCAGTGTTGTATGGCTGCTATAGCTAAGAGACATCGCACGGTGACTAACTTAGCCACATGTATGAGTGTTTCGTGATACTCTAGACCCTCAATCTGGGTATAACCTTTGGCTACAAGCCTTGCCTTGTAGCATTCAATAGATCCATAGAGATGAACTTAATTTTACAAACCCATTTGCAGCCAATCAATTTCTTGCTAGGGGGAAACTTGGTCATAGTCCAAGTATGACTTTCCTTGAGTGTCGGTATCTCAGTAGACATTGCATCTCACCAATCAAGTGATTTCACAGCATTTTTAAAAGATGTGGGGTGTAGTGGTTGAAGATAAAGCTCTAAGATATGCACGGTAAGATGGAGACATATGATCATAAGATAAAAAACTAGTGAGTAGATGAACAATACCAAGTAAAACGAAAGTATGTGGTTGTGTAATAGTTGGAGCAGCAGCTGTGGAACAATGATATTGTTGCTGATATGGTGGGGGATGGGTATGTCTAGTGGATCGTTGAAGAGACTGTGGAGGTGGAGGAGGTGGTGGTGGAAGTGTAGGAAGAGGCAGTTGTATAAGAGATGGTGGACTAGTATTAGCCAGAGATGAATGTTCACTCCCTCGGTTGGGGTTAGTTTCAAGCACAGGCAGTACGGACACAAAGGCAATGGGAGAGGAATGTATTTTTCGTGTGTGATATGGAAAAATAGTCTCATGAAATATTACACCACGACTAACAAAAACAATTTTTTGAATTAAGTTAAACGCTCGATCTCCTTTTTGACCAAAAGCATATCAAACGAAAATGCCTGGGAGAGTCGGTGTCAAATATGTGTTTAGTAGTAGAATTGTGAGCATAGCCCAAACATCCAAAGACACATAATTGATTATAACCAGGCTTGGTATTAAAGAAAACTTAATGTGGGGTTTTGCCAGAGAGTAAGTGTAAATGTTGCGATAAGAACACAATCCCCCCAAAACTTTGAGAGGAAGATTAGCTTGAAATTGT